GCACCTACTTTTCTAACACCTTCTAACACTGTTCAACTTTGGCTTTGCTACCGACATGCCAATATGTTGTTGTCATAATGAACTGAGATTTCCTTAATCTATGTAGAATTTTATTTATTGATAATGTACTAACTGGATGCAATACTGTAGTAAAAAATGCTGAGAATTCTATTCTGTATCACAAGTACTGTTTTGGAATAAAGCATAGTATTATTATAATTAAATAAAAATCCTAAGAAACTGGATGTCAAGCTCTATTTAATTAATTCTGAAATAAATATATTCATGAATAGTATTCTTATTTAAACAGGAATAAATGTTGTAAATGAAAGACTCATCTTGAGGATAGATAATCTCTACCAATTAATGTTTTAACTAGGCAAATTTAAGGTGTGTCTGCGCTTGTGATTCGCATTATGCTCAAGTGTAAGTGAACAGCAAAATCAAGCGATAATAATTCAAATCATCAGAAAGCGAATAAGTGTTTTAGACGAGGGCGACAGTTTTGATTGGTCGGTCGTTCTTCCTTGTGCGTGCGTCAGTGTGTGTTGTGTTGCTTGATTGGTTAGTGCGCACTCTTTCCTGTTTTACAGCTGAAGCTGCTCTCCGTGTTCCCATCGTTTTTACAGGTTTTTTGTTTCACTCACCAGTTTTAACTATCGTCATCATCATCAGCATCACCATCGGTGATAATAATTGAGAAATCAATGAATATTTACTTTTAATCTATGTATATGTTCCTTTTCCACAAATACTCTTCTACCTTGTTTTCTGATAAGTTTTCCAGAGTAGTGTTTCTCTGTTGAAGTACTGAAAATGACAAGGAGACAGTTGTTTTGATAAATCACACAATGTGTTATACAGTCATATTAACTAATGACGTAATTTAGAAAAAAACTCAGCAATAGCACTTAACGCATTAACACGCAACCCCACAATAGCATGGTGGGTGGGAGAGGGTTAATATTCTAAAAAGTAATCTGTGTAGGTGAAGAGAGAGAGGTTGATTACTGAATCCTTCCTGGTTCATCGAGTCTACATCCAACACATGCAATAGGAATGACTCAATGCGAAATCCAGAGATAAGGAAGAGACTATTACCACCCGTCAAATCAGAAGAGGATAATAAAATAATCTTAAAATTTTATTTCTATTCAAGCACATCACAACATTCTTACAAGTTACTTATTTTGACTATAAAAACACTCGTTATTTCCCATCTGATTCAGTTTGATAAATAACACTCGTATTATTATTTCTGAATATACTTTACCTTGATCTTATTCAAATGTCTAATCATTAGTTTTTACTCTTGTTTATAAATGAAGGAAAAACGTTGTGTGATGTGTCTAGTCCTCTCTTTGATGCAGACTGAATTCTATCAGTCAGGTTGTAATGTGGCCACCAACAATCTAGGTAGTTCGCCATCACGGTGCACATTGATTTGATGATATTAGATGGTTGGAGGCAATCGGCCACAGGAAGCCTTACTTGACCTGGGTTTCTTGCTAGTTGCCACTCACCAGTTAGCAAGGCGTATCTGCAACGTTGAAGGAACTCATGTCCCTTCTTAGATTCGCACCTGCGTCACCCAGTGCTACCAGCAATCAGAGATGTTACCTAGAATGGTGGCCACATTGCAAACCTGAGCGATTGATAGAACTCAGTCTGCACCAAATAAACAAAGGACTAGCCAGACACATCACAGTAGTTACTAGTGTCCAATACAGTCAGTCCTACAGGAGGTCAATCGCGAGCCCGAATAGCTCAGTGGTAACGTCTCCGGCTGCTGGTAGCACTGGGTGACACAGGTTCGAATCTCAGAAGGGACATGGGTGTTCCTTCAAGGTTGGAGATACACCTTGTTGGCGACCGGTGAGCGGCAACTAGCACGAAACCTAGGTCTAAGGCTTCCTGCGGCCGATTGCCTCCAACCATCTTATATCATCAAATAATCTATTTATTGTACTTGTGTAATTCACGGCATTTATCTTGTTGACAAAATTGTGACCAGTTGTAGGTCAACATATCGGTATGCTACAGAATTACTAGTTTAATCTTTTTGTACTTACCAATTGCCTTAACACTTTCATTTATTTATTTTTTTATTTTTTTAAATAGTCACATTTCTTGTTTTATCTTTCGAATGAAAAAAGAGAACCGAACAAAAATTAAAAAGAGAGAAAAAAAAAGTTTAGTTGTTCATGAAGGTGCACTAGTTTTTGGACTTGGTTTCAACCTAGGGGTATTTAAGGGTATTAATCAGAAAGAATCTCATGTGATGCACGGTTATTCTAATCTAAATTTTGGACTACCAAAAATGTTATTGCTTATAAGTAAGTAAGTAAGTAAGTAGGTAGGTAGGCAGGTAGGTAGCAACAATAGTAGTAGTAATAGTAATAGTAATAGCAGGGTTTTCTCTTCAATAAATTCAGTCATGCACAAGTTGATTAGGCCTGATGCATGTGCACGCATCATTTTCGTTTTGCCACGAAGTAGTGATAGTGGTACATGAATTATTAATAATAATAGTAATAACAATAATATTTGTAAGACTATTGAACGAAACCAGCCAACCAACATACAAACAAACTAACGGTGGTTACTTCTTTCAGTGCAAGTGCATAGTAAAGTCTTCGTTTGCGTAAAAAAGGTCTATTTTAGTATCTTTTTGTACTCCTTTACGTTCCTAGTGCTGGAACATAGGGCTTCAAGCTACAGGCTTGAAGTTTCAGTAGCAGTGCTGGTTGTTTTTACGGGATGGGGTTGCTAGCCTCATGCGCCCAACCTTCCCTCTTTACCAGTCTTGTTACTGGTTTAGCGAGGTAAAGGAGTGCGTCAGTGGCCAGGGATCGAACCCCGGACCACCTGCATGGCTGGCGAGCATTCTACCGCTGTGCCGCCGACGCACATTTTAGTATTTAGACGATATTTATGTATTGATTTCAGAATTATTGAAATAAATATAAGGAATGTTAGGACTGAAATTCACTCAGTGAAGTGCTACTGAAAAGGCTACTGAAAAAGGACTATGCCATCCTGAGAAGGATGTTGAAGGTAGTTAGTAGGACTAGTGGTGTAAAATTCAGTCAGCTCGTCAATACTTTAGTTGATAGGCATCTGAATACGTGCGCAAAATGGTCTAAAACCATACTCTCCGACCCCCTCTATTCCCAACTCTCGCCTTGTATCTCATCAGGTAGAACCAGAAATCAGTACAAAATAATATATGCTCGTACAACCAAGTACAGGAACTCAACGATACCATATTTGGCCCGTGTTCTTAGTGACTCTCTTATTTTGTATTCTATAGTGAACTCCTTCTTAAACATACTTAGCTACCTAAATTATTGACATCGGCTTCCTTTTTTGCACTTTATTGTATTCATTCCTTTGTGTACCTACTGGTTCCGATTATATTAGCACTATGAGTATTACAAAATTGTCCTGTCATTAACCATCATGTAATATTAGTTTTTGTAGTTGTTGTCTTGGTTGTTCGGCAATGTTAACTGACAATCTTGGTTGTGAACGCCATTATCACCATCTTAAAATTTTGTATTATGCAGGATTACTCACACTACCACTACAAACACTGCATTAGACCTGACAATAAAAAAAACAAAACAACAACCCTGAAATGTTATTTAATGATTGTTTAGAGTTGTTTCAACCAAATTAACTGATCATCTTGGCGATAAACATTCCTAAATATCATTTCATAACTTCTTGTATGACTATAGCTTTACTGTCACCATGCATAATCATATCATTGCCTCCACTACCCAATACTGAGATATTATTATATGATGTTTCCTTTCTACTTCTTGGTATTTTTTCGCATTTAAAAAATTTCCTTTGTGTTTTTTGTGTGTTTTTTTGTTTTTGTTTTTGTTGTCTTTATTTTTTTGAAATACTCCTTTTAAATGTTTGATAAAATTAGATGCAAATATTGTAGATATGTGCTGAAAATTCCACACTGTACCACTAGTACTGTTTCTGGAATAAAGCAAATTATTATTATTTTTGTCGAAAAAATTTGAATAACAGCCTTTATTATTATTAGTATTATTTTTATTGTACTTTAAAGTTGATGGGAAATATTTGTTGTTAGCGTGAAACATTGATGAAATGTATTCACAACACTTATAGGTCAACAAGTTTTAGCTTTCATTGTCATATTTGTTATCTAAGATTCTCCACGAATGATGGTGATGGTGCCCAGTTACAGTCATACGTTGGGCATATCGTTGAGTTTTTATCACTCACTCACCAGGCCCTCGACTGGAACCGGAATACGAAACAACGAGTTCGGCTTTGGTCTAAAGAGATCGTGTGAGGTGGAGATGAAAGCTTATGGAAACTAAAAATGACTGTGGAGAACAGAGTAGAACGGAGATTTGCATTGGCTGAACCTCTATATTCAACTCGTAGCCCAAAGAAAAAAAATAATAATGATTACAGGACAATCAGATTTGATCAGTTCAATCTGATAATACCTATTGTTCCAATTATGTACAGTTTTTTTTCGCTCTTGAGTAAGTGCGTGGGTGGCACAGAGGTTAGGACTTTCGCCTACCATGCATATGGGGCCCGGGGTTCGATCCCCTGCCGACGCACACCTGATATCAATGGTTGGCCTGCAAAATTTGGCCTACCGATATCACATGCTGAAAATTCCATACTTGTATCTAAAATACGGTGTGGAATCAAGCTAAAATATAAAAAAATTATCTCCACCAAATATTAACAGCTAGAGTACGTTTCACTTTTTTTAGTGATTCACTTAATGATTCTACAGTTTTGCATAGATGTTTATTCACATTCCCAGCTTTCAGGGAGTCCATGGCACAGAACCACATCTTGGTACCTTTTTTTCATAACAGTAATCATTAGTTTTAAAAGACAAAAAAAACAAAATTGTTCTCAAAAATCTACTGTTTATTGTGTAATGAGATAGTATTTTATGCAATTGCTTCATTCTCTTTTACAATCTACAGGGGGATGATGGTGTTGTTGGGTGTTATTATCAATCATCAACAAACTCTGTAAACATGCGAGCTGGTTACAATGACATAACTGGAAAGACAACAACTTTCTATACTGGACCTGATGAGGTAAGTAATATGTGAACACATAGAATAATAATAATAATAGTATGAAGTGCAATTAAAATTAAAATGTTTGTGATTATAATCACAGTTCAATGTCAAATGGCAAGACAATTTATCTCATATATAGAATAATTCATAGGATGTGTAGAACTTGGAAGGGGTGTGAAATTAGAAGATTACTAGGCAATTCGAATAAAAATAAAAACGTTACGTACCACTGTGTGAAATTTAATGACATAGAATTTGATATTGCAAAACAAAATTGATTTAGAATGACATGTGGAACAAGTGATATAATACTGGGGACAGTTCAAAGTGAGAATAGTAATAGTAACAATTGACGTAATACAGGAAGAGTGTGCAAATTGAATAGACAAAATGAAAAATTGGTAGAGCTAAAATATGATTAGGGATTACCATACTTTGGCATAGAGAGATTAAGACCATGAAAGTTGGAGGAGTTGGACGAACTTCTTTCTGAATACAGAGATCCGGCTTTTGCGTTTCGATGGCCAAAGCTTCAGCAATACAGATGAGTCGGGTACGTAGTGATTTGGGCAAATTGCTTTTTAATTCATGAAAAATCCCCCATTCGAACATTAATAGAGAGAAGACCAGTAGTTCAGCGAAGAGTCTCTTTTCGGCGGCGAATTCATTTTCACAGCTGTACAATCACAAATATATATGGTTATTTTGTATGTGTGTGTACATTAAATCTGTCAAACGGAAATAAAATTACTAGGTTTTTGGTGGAGTTACGTAATACAAAAAGTATTCAGAGGAATTGATATAGGAGAGTAGTAATAAAAGTGATGAGTTGTCCCAAATGATTGTTAAAGGAGAGTTACGTAATAACATAAATAGTTTCACGAAAGAGTTATACTCACGGTGCGCATGGAAACAAAATAAAATACGGAGTTACGCAAGGGTTTTAAGTAGTTAGAAAAATAACTATACAAGCATAAATTAAGTCAAATCAACGGAGTTGTTACCATGATAGTAGAAGTGGTTGAATAATTTTCTTTTGTATGCATAGTTCTGGTTCTTCTAACTGAATGGCTAGGGCTTCTGCAATGCAAAGAAGACGGAAACGTATTGTCTTTAGCAGGTTGTTCTTCACTTTGTAGATTACTTTGAAGCAGGAGGTGTTTGTTGTTGGGATGGAATGACCAGTGGTGACGAGATGTTCGACTACTGCACTCTTTAAACCGCCACTACTTCCTTTCTGCAGCCACGCTGCATAATGTTCTTTGACCCTTCATAGTGAACAACTACACTTTATTGGATGGGCGAATTAAAAAACCTTTTACTAGTATGAAAGTGCCATAAAGCTTAACAAAGAATCCTTGCTTATTGCTTCAGTAAAATTAATTATACTTCACTAAATCTGCTAAATGGAGAGTGAATATGGAGAAGTCGGAGGTGATGAAGATAACTAACCAACAGCAGCAACAACAACAACAACCAGCACCAATCACTATCAACAACAAGAGAGATTTAACAGAGGTTACTTCCTTCACTTATCTAGGATGATGCATCGTTTCAGCTACAGGTGGAACGGATGAAGATGTCAAAGCTAGCCAGCCAGTCAGAATCGGAAAGGCAAGATACGCACGTCTTCATCAACCTGAAACCAATTTGGAAATCTTCTGCACAAGGAAAAAGATTCGCATTCTCAACACCAATGCCAAATTGGTCTTTCTATACGAATCGGAAACTTGCACTGCGTGTCACGAAAAGGATTTCCAACAGGTTGTAAACTTTCATCAACAGCTGCCTTCGCTGACTTCAGACTGAAGTTGAAATGGCCAGAAAGAATAAGTAACAAGAAAGTGTGGGAAAAAAGCAACCAAGAACCGATCGCGCAATAAATATGTAGGAGAAAATGGAGATGGATTGATCGGGCATACATTGAGGAGACCGTCAAATGACCTATAGTTAATTATAAGGTTTAAGTTATTTCTAGTATTCCATCAATATCTGCGAATTTCAGTACATGAATTACTAGACTATGCCACTTAGTGTTGGGCTATTCAAAGCAGTAACTAAACTATCCAAGCTGATATACTTTGCACGCTCGTCTCCGGCGTCATCAAAAAGGCATGTCTTCAGTCACTAGGATAGTGATTCTCCTTCTACCGGTTATTATTATTATTGTTTCCTTTAATTCCTAGAGGAACATAGGGCTTCAGCCGTGCGTCTCCATTGCGTTCGGTTCTCTGCTAGAGTCTTCACCTTACTCCACGTCTGCCTACACGCTTTCACCATCTCTTCACATGACCTCCTCCATGTCACTGACGACCAACTCGCCACTTCCCATTCGGGTTCCACTCGAGCGGTGGCCTGGTATGTGATGTCACTTGATGGTTTGTTTTCTCAGAGTATGGCCAATCCATCTCCATTTCTTCCTGCCTATCTGTTTCACAATCGGTTCCTGCTGTGTTGGTTCGCTCCCAGAGATCTCTGTTATTGATCTTTTCTGGCCAGCCATTTGATCTTGAGTATTGAGCAAAGACAACTGTTAATGAAGGTCTGTAGTTTGTTTGAGATGCTCTTTATGACGCGCTGGCCAAGTCTCTTATCCGTATATTAAGTTGTACTGACTTCACATTGGAGTTGAAAATCCGGATCTTATTTTTGATGCTGAGTGCTGTTGACCTCCAAACAGACTTGAGAGTAATGAAAGCTTGTCTTGCTTTCCAGATTCTTGCTTTGATATCCTCGTCAGTTCCGTCCGCCTGTAGTTGGTAGGTAAAAGAGGCTGTTTCTTTCAGGTTCCTTCCATTTATGCTGATTGTTGTCTGTTGCTGTTGTTGCTGTTGGTGGTGTTGCCCAGGAATCTCCTATCGGTTACCTAAACCCTAACTCACTTTATGATACCCTAGAGAATCTTATTTCACTGTGGTATTTTGTAAATCACACAGGTTGTAAGTAAGCCTATGTCGAACACCTAGGTCTAAGCAGCCAGGGCATTGGTTGTACCACCCATGAACAGATCAGTGTAGAGAAGTTATCTTTAGACCTATGTAAACCCCATCCAGTACACTTTATTCAATAAATAATCTACAGTTTTCTGTTAAATTTTTGTTATACCCTTTCCATACTGCAGAAATCTTTTGTTTCATTTATTACTTTAAAGTGTTTTTCTTTATACACCCACGCGTTCTGTTTTTTCTTCTGTCAGAATTTATTGCACTACCCGTTAACAACTATTCACTGTACGTTATGCATTTATATATATATATATATATATACATATATATATAAATATGGTGTTTAATGGCCTGCATTTCTTTCAACTGCCTTGAATTGTTTGTTTTTGTCTTAAATTTATCGATTGAAAGGTGAACAGAAAGTGTGCTGTTCACTAGCCAGACCAAAAAGAGTTTTGTTTTTTCTTACACCGCATACTAATGAGAGAGATGTATATAAAAATACGTGTGTGTGGAGGCGCTTGTACTAGTCATTCCTTTGTAGGAATGGGATATTATTGTTTATTGGAATAGAGAATTATTGCCTACACCAAAGTGCCCAAATTCCACTCTTTAATAATAATAATGATAAAAATAATAATCTACTTTATTCCAAGACGAACAATACTTATAATACAGAATGGAATTCTCAGCATTTGTCACAATATTGCATCTGATTTACTTAAAATGTATATAAAATTAAAAATTAAAACAAAATTAACCAGAGGAATTTGTCCACATTTTCGATATAAAGTCAAAAGTGTTCGAAGCACGAATTAAGAATATTAAATACACAATGGACTGGCCATTGAATCGGGTCCCAGTTAGTGGCTGAATGGTATACGAGCTAGCTTGCCTTGCAACTGGAAGGTCCTGGGTTCGAACCCGTGTGGCGGGTTCGTACTACCGATGATTCCCAAACTAGTGGGGTGAAACAGCTCTCTAGTACTCCCTGTGGCTGGTTTTCAATGGTTCTCTAACTGATATCAATCAGTGATCAAATCGTAAAAAAAACTAACCCTTACAAAAACCAGCTATAGAAAATTAAATAATAATAATCACAGTGAGTTTGTTTCAAACAGTATTGTCGATTCAGTTTGAAACTTTTAGCATGTTATCGATTATTGAATCTAATGTTATGTTGATATAGCAAAATGGTGAGGGGAAATATAAAATTACCAGTTATAACACAGCTCAAATGATGTTCACACTTATGAAAAAGATAAACAAATAAAAAGCAAACAAAAATTGAGAGGATTATAAATATAAGAAGTACAGAAAACAATAAAGGTTGATGTTGTGAATTAATTGACTCCAGCGTTTCAAATCTCTCTTGGCTAGTAAGGGATGATGAAGAGTGAAGTGCATGGTCATCTCCCAAGAGGCTTTTTTTACGACTGACTTTGTTGACTAAAATCCCTGAAAGTGTCAGTTTTTAAAGTCAGATTTCGGAAACCCTAAATATTCCAGAATGTTAAATTGTAACCTAACTCTCAAGTCTGTGTAGAGGTCAACAGCACTCAGCATCAAAAATAAGATCCGGATTTTCAACTCCAATGTGAAGTCAGTGCTACTCATCATACGGAACAGAGACTTGGCCAGCGCGTCATAAAGGGCACCTCAAACAAACTACAGACCTTCATCAACAGCTGCCTTCGCTCACTACTCAAGATCAGATGGCCGGCCAGAAAAGATCAGCAACAGAGATCTCTGGCAATGAGCGAACCAACACAGCAGGAACCGATTGTGAAACAAATATGCTGGAAGAAATGGAGATGGATTGGCCATACTCTGAGAAAACAAGCCATCAAGTGACATCACTAGACAAGCCATTGCTCGAGTGGAACCCGAAAGGGAAGCGGCGAGTTGGTCGTCAGTGTGAGGGTGACTTGGAGGAGGTTATGTGAAGAGGAGATGAAAGCATGTAGGCAGACGTGGAGCCAGTTGAAAAAGTCGACAGAGAACCAAACGGAATGGAGATGTTCGTCTCAAGCCCTATGTTCCTCTAGGAATTAAAGGAAACAATAATAATAAGGATTTTATTCTATCACAGTGCCCAAATTCTCTTCATATATCCTTTTTTCATTCGTTCACGTTCCCAGTGGAACATCGGGCTTCAAGCTAGAGGCTTGAAGCTTCAGTAGCAGTGGTGTTTATTTTTACGGGATGGGGTTGCTAGCCTCATGTCCAACCTTTCATCTTTACCAGCTTTTATTTTTGGCTTAGAGAGGTAAAGGAGTGCGTCAGTGGCCGGGGATCAAACCCCGGACCATGCGCTTGGTTGGCGAACGTCCTAACCGCTGTGCCACCGACACCTTCGCATACCATAGTTGGTTTTTTCATTGTTGATTACTTCTAGTCGTTTCACACGAAATCAACGACGGTTTTCCTGTGTTGTAGGTATCTATAAATTTTGTATATGCGTTGGCTAGTATTCAATTTCGATAAGTAGTATATATAAAGAATGTAATTGCAGGAAATGCCGAAATAAAGCAGGCTACATAATATATTTGTTGTGTATTACGCTATCCAACAGTTCATGTGTAACTTCTCAAATCCCTAGAGAAGCCGTACAAAACTCGCGTGCATATATTCTCAGAATGGTATAGTTTTACCCCTTACCCAAAGAACTATAGAATTTTGTACATCACATTTTATAATTCGTATGTAGGTGTGTTCTCTGAGCTAGATGGTTATCTTGCGAAGCTTTCATTGCCTTACTAGCCAACATCTTCCGCGCACACTTCAATTTGAAGTGAGCTTTTAAATTTCTCCACGAGCGTCGGTGGCACAGCGGTTATGAATCTCGCCGACCATGCACATGGTCCGGGGTTCGATCCCCTGCCGACGCACACCCGATATCAATGGTCGGCCTGCGAAATTTGGGCTACCGATATCACATGCTGAAAATTCCATACTTTTACTGAAAATACGGTGTGGAATCAAGCTATAATCAAAAAGAGGCTTATCAGTCATCTCTCCTGGTAAACTTGAACGTAATTGGTTGCTTTTGTCTGTTTCCACAGCCTCTAGTCTACTTGTGTTGGTATTGAGACGTTCTTTGTGCATGGTTGGGGCACCCCCTCCAAAGCCCTCAATGGGAACAAAAAGCAAATCGTCTTATCATGTACAAAGAACGTCTCAGAAATCACTGCAAGACTCTGCAAACCTTTAGGAACTGATGTCACACACAGACAAATAAACAAAATCACTTCACTCAACTCTGTCAACCAAAAGTGAAAGTATGAAAAACTGTTAAAGAATCACCCCATTTTATTTCATTTCCCCGAATTAAGCTTGGTTAACTATTCTCCTTGTCTCATTCAACTATAGGATCTGCTGATAACCGAAGGTGAAGATCTAGGTGGTGTATTCAACGCGATGGATGGCACTTTACAATGTCGTTTTAGACGACGCGTTAGACCGTTGGATACAGTTCATCAACTAATGGATTTAACATCACCTAACGCCTATCATTTAATTGTTACACGTGGTGATGAACGCAAAAAAGACGGATTCGGTCGTCCTTTTGCCGGTGGAGAATCTATTTCACAACGTCCAGTTGTGATCACATCGTGAGTTAATATCCTATCCTGCTTCATTCAGTTTATGATATTAAAAATTTCATATTGCATGTCTGAGCATCTTTTAATAGCCTCAAGGTAGCTGTGCATTGCTGTTGGTCTTCAAAAGTTCTCAATTTGGTGTAAGTGAGTGGCGAACACATTAAATACCCACACAGAGTTCATTTATAGGAATTTTTAATACTGATAGGCCTAGTATCACCGTGATGGCCGGAAAGAATCACCAACAAGAAACTATGGGAACAAACAAAACAAGAGCCAATCGCCCAACAAATGTGCAGGAGAAAGTGGAGATGGATTGGACACTCACTGAGGAGGCCGTTGGGTGACATCGCGCTTCAGGTCATCACTCGAATGGAACCCGAAGGGGAAGCGGTGAGTGGGACGTCCAAGGGTGACATGGAGGAGATCGTGTGAGGATGAGTTGAATCAGTATGGACTAACATGGATGAAGGTGAAAAGTACAGCAGAAGACAGAAGCAAGTGGAGAGGTGCAGTTGAAGCCCTATGTTCCACTAGGAACCCAAGGGAACAATAATAATAATAATAGTATCACTGTACATCCTATCGAAGTATCTCCACATTTTCAAGTCTCTCTACTGTTTTTGACTGATAGTTATCTTCTCTCTCTCCCTCTCTCACTATTCCTATTGACTATTGAGTATAATTCAGTGTGCTGATCATTAATTCCCCCCTCATCCATTGTACAAAAAGGTATTTTGAGTTCTGTCTCCCATCCTAGGTGATATAATACGATAAGCGGCAATGGGGCTTAATGTAAAATACTAAGTAGGAAAGGTCAGTTGATAAGGTTTTCAAACTGTATCTATGTGTTACGCCGGCCCAGTCAAAGTATTCCTCAACAAGCAATTTTAGCTGACATACAATTAGGTTAGAATAGATTTAGCAGTGGTCAGACCAAAGCATGTCACATTGCATAAACCTATGCCTTACAACGTACTTCCAATTCAACGGGTAAGTATATGAACCAGTTAAAGGAACACCCATAGGATCGTCAATATCAGGTTTGATTGCAGAAGCAGTGATGCAAAGGCTTGAAAACATAATCCTACCAAAGATCAAACCCAAGATTTGGATACGTTACGTAGACGATACATTTGTAATAATCAAAAGAAACGAGTTAGATAAAACTCACAATTGAATAAGCAACGTCTTCAACGACATCAAATTCACAAGAGAAGAGGAATCCGAGAACAAAATCCCATTTTTGGATGTCTTAGTCAAGCGAACAACCACCGGGGAATTAGAAATTCAAGTTTATAGAAAATCAACGCACACAGACCAAATAATGAATTACAACAGCAACAATCCAATAACAAACAAAAGGAATTGTATACAAACACTATTCAAGAGGGCCAGGACTCATTGCAGCACTCTCATCTTAAGGAAAATTGAAGAAAGATACCTCATGGACGTCTTCCAAAAGAATGGATGTTCACGGAATTTCATCAAAAGATATATACCCCCAAGCCAACCTATCAAACCAAAAGCCTTCAAGGAAAGCACAAAGAAAGTCGCCCTGCCATATATAAAGGATATATCAGAAATCACTACAAGTCTCTTCAAACCTTTAGGAATTGACGTCGCACACAAACCAACAAAACACTTCCCTTGGCTGGCTCTATGTCAGCTAAAAGACTCAACAACGAAAAGAAGATAAAACCAACATCATCTACAAAATAAATCGTAACAACTGCGAGAAACAGTACATTGGCCAAAGTGGATGTCCCATTCGTCTTCGTATCCATGATCATAAGCTAGCCGTCAAAAGACATGACATCCACTCCCTCATATCACTACATACAGACAACCACGGGCATCAGTTCGATTGAGACAATGTTCAAATATTAGACAGAGTAAACAACAAGAATGCTAGAGAATTTTTAGAAGCTTAGCATTCCAGTGAATCATCAATCAATAGACACATCGAGATAGGCAAAATTTATCAACCGATAAGACAGGACTCCAGGTGAACATAGAGAAGATGGAGGTGATGTTGATAACCAACCTACAGCAACAGTGACCAGTACCAATCACTACCAACAGGAGAAATTCAACAGACGTCACTTCCTTCACTTATCCGGCTAGGAAGCACGGTTTCAAGCACAGATATGCCGAACGGATAAAGATGTCAGAGCAGGCAGACCTGAATCAAAGAGGCAGGATACGCCTTTATCCATCTGAAAAAAGTTTGGAAATCTTGTGTACTCCACCTCAGCATAAACAACAGGATTCGGATATCCAACACAAATGTCAAGTCAGTGAGTGGTTTCCTATACGGGTCAGAAACTTGGCCGGCGCGTCACGAAGAGGATTTCCAACAGCCTACTGCAGACCTTTATTGACAACTGCCTTCGCTGGCTTCATACTGAAGATTGAATGGTCAGCTGGTTGGCCAGAGAACAAACCAAACGACCAACCAAGACCCGATCGCTCAACAAATATGTAGGAGACAATGGAGATGGATGTATCTGTCACACATTGAGAAGGCAGTCGGATGATATCGCGTGCAATGCAGGCCATCGCTCAATTGGGATCACAATGTGAAACGACGAGAGGATCGTTGGTGCGAGTGCGACATAGAGGAGATTTCGCAAGGAGAAGCAGGAGATGAGAGATAAGATTATGGTAAATTGCGGGGTCAGACAGATGAAGAGGGCAGCAGAGAATAGAAGAAAGTAGAGATGTGTTACTGAAGCCCCCTTTGTTCCACTCATAACCCAAGGGAATAATACATAATATAATATACATTTATTTCCCTTTATGAATTTGAATAAAGTAAGAACAGCAGTTTGGACAGAATAAGATGGTGCCATCATTTGTTTCTTTGCCTTGTCATCAGCTGCGCACAGCCTAAAAAAATTATTAAATCAAGTTTATGCACAGAACAGTTTTAACTTACTTGCAAACGCTACATGATGTCAGTTGACAAGAGAGAACCCTCGTAATGACCAAATGACACAGGATTTATTCTACGAAATATCTTGGAACTACTGTGAGACCAACTGAACTCACTTGAGGCCAGTTGATCGTGGTCAGTTAGGTTATCGCAACACGGGAACTTAGTTAAGTGTAGAATCATTTGATCCCGCAGAAATGAATAGCTTACAGAAAAAGTCGCCAATCTCAATCAGTGCATCAACAGATAATTATACAATAGGGTGAGGGACATATCTATACACTTCTAAAGAGTCAAGTGGGTGGGAGGGGGTGGATAGAGATTGATCAATAAATCTTTGTTTCATGGAATCTACTCACACACACATACAGTTAAGATCAAAAGAAAAGGAATAATGGAATTGTATATTATTCATGATTTAAAGGATGATACAATATCATGTCAGCCTGATGATTGTATAAACTGCCCCGCAGTCATCAAAACACCGTCACCACTGACAACATATCCTAGTATCAGCTTAGTAATAATCCCTTTAATGAAAACAAAACACGTAGATCAGCGAACAGTCTCTTTACGGCGAATTCATTTTCTTAGCTGTACAATCGCAAATATATATGTGGGTTATTTTCTATGTAAGTGTACATTAAGTTCGTCAAACAAAAATACAATTGGTTATAGTTATTTTAACTAAACAGGTGAAGATTGGTAATTGGAGTTACATAATACAAAATCAGTCAAGAAAATTAGGTGTTAGTGAAATTAGGGTAGTAACAAAGGTGATGAGTTGTCACAATCAGTTGTTAAAAGAAGTTATGTAATAATATGAATAGTTTGATGAGTGAGTTTTACTCAGGATGCACATAGGAACAAAGTAGATAATACGAAATTACGTAAGAGTTCTAAATGAATACAAGAATTATGAGCAATTAAAGAACAGGCAAAGAAACGAAATTAAGTCATCAAAATCAAAAAATCAAATTAAAAAAGTTGTTACCAAGACAGTAGAAGTGGTTGAGTAATCCTCTTTTGTATGCACAGCTCCAGCTTTTCTATGTGAATGGCCACAGCTTCAGCGATACAAAGAAGGCGAAACCGTATTGCCTTTGATAGGTTATTCTTGACTCTGTAGATTAATTACTTTGAAGGAGGCGTTTGTTGAAATGGAATGATCAGTGTTAACCAGGTGTTCAATTATCGCACTCCTTATTGCACCACTATTGCCTTTTCACAACCATGCTGGATAGTGTTCTTGAATCCTCTTTGTTTTCATTAATGCCTGGATGGGGATTTTACCATGAATAATCCTTTTGTTTTTGCCTTTTATTTTCACAGACCTATTTACGGAAGTATGACTGGTGTAGCTGGCCGCGGATCGTCAATAGCTAAAACTCATGGCTGTCTTATGGTATTAGCCTGGGTACTGTGTGCCAGTATTGGTGTTATACTAGCACGTTATTATAAAGACGTTTGGCCTAATTCTGGCCTATTGGGTGAACGTGTCTGGTTTCAATCGCATCGAATATTACAAGGCATATGTGTTGGCTTGACGTGTATCAGTATAATATTGATTTTTATCTATTGCGAAGGTTATTCCCAAGCAACTGCATATCCCTACTACATACATCCAATTCTTGGTTTGATTGTTTTCTCCTTGGCGTTGATCAATGTAAGTCTCTCTCATCGATTCGTGAACATTCTCAGTTTTGAAAAATATTTATAATGTGCTGGTATTCAGTTAAAATTAAATTTTCGTATAGTTGGATATCAAAGGATGAATACTGATCGGCATGCGAATTTCGTTTAATGGGGCAACTCTAACGAGATGCATGACACTGTTTCTCTTGTAATAAGTCGTTGAATCTATGCAGTTGGCACAAGGTGGATGGACAATGTTTCATTTCACGTAAAATGGTTATTTGAATGAAGCAAGAACAACAACAGTGGTTTTTGCAGAATAAAATGGTGCCATCATCGGTTATTTCGTTGGCTTCTTATCAGCTCAGCTGCTTACAGGACAAAGTCATTATTGAGTATATCTACAGAAACAATTTTAACATGCTTGCACAGAGTTCATTTGTCGGCATTACGTAACCATATGAAAGAGAGGTGAAAATACCCAGTTACCAGGTCAAAGAAAGACTGATAACTGCTTCTTTCTGAACACATAAATCGAGTTTCAGGCACTTGATGGACATCGCTTCGGCAAACTTAAAGAGAATTGAACTCTTTTGCCTGTTGATAATTTTGAACGATCTCGCGAGGTCCACCTCATGGCCCATGTCAAGGAGATGCCTGGTGATGGCACTGTTTAAAGCATTTGTTTCTTTTTAGACATAGGCTTTTTGGTACATGTTCAGAAAATTGTAGATATGCCCTTCTTTCTGTTCTTCCAATGTAACTGCTCCCGCAGATACATGTAAATTTGTATGTACAGTTGAAGTTAACATGAGAAGGATATCTATCGATTTTTGATTGCACCAAAGAGCAAGTTGTTTGGTAGACGGGGACGAGCTTAGCTGTAGAATAGGCTATGGCCAGTGACGTATTCAGTCTTCCGTTGACCATTGCTGCAATGTTTTCACCTTTATAATCAAGTTAAATGCAGATGGGCTTTTTCTCCACAGTAGTTTGTTTTGCATTTGTGACTTCAGATCTTCCATACTTGTTAATAAATCTTTGAGGGTACCCATTACTTTTCAACATCTTTTCGAGAAACTCAAATTCTTCCTCTAATCTCTCTATAGAGCACAATCCCGTAGTTCTGTAGTTTAGGGTCTTGACTAGTCCGCGTTTAAAGCTATTTGGACAAAAATTATCAAAATGTAGGTATTGTCCTTTCCAAGTAGGCTTTCGATAAATTGACTTCTTAAGACTGCCATCTTCTAGGCGTTGTATGGTAATGTCGAGGAAGTAGAACTTTCCATCACTTTCATGTTCCATAGTAAATTCAATGGTTAGTTGACATAACGCTATATCTCCAAATGATAAAATATCTGAGGAGTCGTCCGTCGGTCAGTTATTTTGAAATCCAGTTTGACTCTTATTATTATTGTTTCCTTGGGTTCCTAGTGGAACATAGGGCTTCAACTTCTCGTCTCCACTTGCTTCTGTCTTCTGCTGTACTTTTCACCTGCTTCCATGTTATTCCATACTGTTTCAACTCATCCTCACACGATCTCCTCCATGTCACCCTTGGACGTCCCACTCACCGCTTCCCCTTCGGGTTCCATTCGAGTGATGACCTGAAGCGCGATGTCACCCAACGGCCTCCTCAGCGAGTGTCCAATCCATCTCCACTTTCTCCTTCATATTTGTTGGGCGATTGGTTCTTGTTTTGTTTGTTCCCATAGTTTCTTGTTGGTGATTCTTTCCGGCCATCTGATCTTCAGTATAGAGCTAGCGAAGACAGTTGTTGATAAAAGTCTGCAACAGGCTGTTGGAAATATTCTTTGTGACCCACTGGCCAAGTTTCTGATCTGTATAGAAGAACTGACTGACTTGACGTTTGTATTGAAAATCCGAATCACTTTGTTGTTGATGATGCTGAGTGACGAAGATTTCCAGATTGGTTTCAGGTTGATGAATGTGTTTCTCGCCTTCCTGATTCTCGATTTGACATCCTCGTCCGTTCCTCCTTTAGTTAAGACAATGCTGTCTAGATAAGTGAATGAAGTAACCTCTTTCAAATCCCTCCGGTTGATGGTGATTGGCGCTGGATGTTGCTGCTGTTGTTGTTGTTTGTTGGTTGTTTATTTTCATAACCTCCGTCTTGTCTATGTTCACCTAGTACCTATTAAATAAAATGTCTCTGAATTTCTTTCGCTCTTATCTCAGTGTCTATTTATCATCGCTTACACACATATATTCATATTCACTTTTAGCCATTTATCGCTTTATGCCGATGCAATCCAGCGCATGAATACAGACCATGGTTCAATTGGATACACTTTTTCGTCGGCACCTTTGCTTATGTCTTGTCTGTACCAACAATGATGTTAGGCCTGCGTATGCCTGCTGCTGGCCTCCAACTGCAATTTATTAATTATCCACTATGGATTTTAATATTCTTTGTTATATTCCAATTTATTATTGAAATTGTTTTGGAGATACACGGATGTTTCTATTATCGTCGGAATAAGAGTAAGTTTTCATTCTTTGAGTTTTTGTTTTTGTTTTTCTGCTGTGTTTTTCCGGTGTATTTGTGTGTATGTGTGTGTGAATGTTTTGGGCTGAACAATTTATTTAGTATTGACTGATTAAACATTCTCGTTGAAATCTTTCAAAATAATAGTTACTGAACAGAGAATATTCTTTTCGATAACCTGCTCTTCGTCAGGTTTTACGGTTATATATCCATACTTACTTTTACTTTACTTCGGCTATCTTTTACGGGAGGATGAGCCGGCTTCATGAACATCTCGAATCATGGTGAGAGTCGTTTGTGAGAGAGTTCATGAAGTTTCATGGGAATTTGGTACAAGTGATGTCCCCAGAATCGCTCGGCCTTTTGTTTGAGAGTGCAGCTCTAGCCTTTACACAACCAAGTGTGACCTACAAGGCAGTAGGAGTGGAGTAGGGAGTCCACTATCTATTGGCAGCCGGTGACCGGAGTTCGGTTCATACGTCTTTTTGAATGGGGCCAAACATCCAGGACATCCAACAAGCCCTTTGTCTATACGTCTGCTGGTGAGCTCTAGTGAGCTTCCTACGCCAGTCGTTGGAGGTTTGGAATCAGGGTCTAGCCATCTCCCCTAGACTGTCATCCAATGGGCAGTCAACCCGGTGAAGAGCGCCGGGCATCCGCTTTCGCCCTCTCACTTTGGTGAAAAACACCTCCGCCACGTGAAGGCAGTGAGTAGGACTTCCTCAGGAGAGGCTATGTAAGACGCCCGGTCATATGGGAGCATTTCAAGAGGTGTGCGGAGGGGTGGCCAACCCGCAGCGAAAGGCACCCACCCCTGACCATCCTGAGGCTTTGGAGGCATTATATATCCATCCATAATAGTGAATGAATGAATTAGTGTTATTAACAGCATTCATGTTGTTTAAATAACATCGAATCAATCAACAATATCACTGGATTACAGTCCAGTAGCATCAACATAAAATAAGCTGAATGTCAGAAAAATTAGGAAGGATAATAATATAAATTTATGGATTTATAGTCTCTACTGAAGGCCGGCCTGGGCTAGCTGAAGTTGCTTCTTTTGCACACAAAACACTGGTTATTTGAGGCGAATTGCAATAGCCTCTGCTGTTTGGAGCATGTGGTGCTTCGATGGTTTTGGAAATTTATTTGGCACGCGGTAGATGATAGAGAAGGATTCTTCAACGGTGGCCTCTGAACAACCTTATCAGTAAGCTCTCATTTTATTGCCGATATATGGATGATACCTTTATTCTTTGTGATAATAGTTCTGATAGGAGTACAATAATTACTGAATTCAATGAAGTACATTCGGCTATGAAATTCACATGAGAAGAGGAATACCAAGACAGAATCGCCTTCCTGGATGTCCTACTTACAAGGAAACCAGAGGGTAGCATAAAAAGAAATTTGCATAGAAAAAGTACTTGGACAGGACAATATACACATTTTCACAGCTTCGTTCCTATCAATTACAAAAGGAATTTAGTGAAGACCCTTAGCCACAGAGTTAGAGCTATATGCTCTGAAGAAGTAATTAAAGACGAATTAAGCATTATATATGATACTTTGATCGAAAGTAGCTATCCCGACAAATTTATCAAGAAACACATGACAAAGAAAGTGGAAAGGGACTACTCACTATCTGTAAACAAGAAGCCACTTTATATACGACTGCAATTCAAGGGTGATATACCTAGCGAAATAATTGCGAAGAAGTTCAGGATATCAGTTCACAGAACTTTTAATGTTCGCAAACTACAAGTCATATTTACTACACGATCAATGGTGATTCCTCGATTAAAAGATGAAGTACCTAGACTAGCTAGCCACTTCCAATTGTATCGACCAATTCAACTGCGCTTGTGGTGGAGCGAATTATATTGGCCGACGCTCTAGGAACTTTATTTTTCGTGCTTGCTCGAGAACATCTCCCAGTATGGCTAAGTAAAGGTGTAGTGAAAACCATTAACAGTTTGATATTGGACCATCTGGTGCAAACCGGCCACAAAGCCAGCACTGAAGAATCCTTCTCTATCATCTACCGGGTACCAAAGAAATTGCCAAAAACACCGAGGTACCGCATACTCCAAACAGCTGAGGCTATTGCGATTCGCTCAAAACAACCAGTGCTTTGTGTGCAAAAGAAGCAAGTCCAGCCCCTACTACTGCCCTGGCTGGCCTTCAGTAGAGACTAGGAATTCATGAATTTGTAATATTATCTTTCCTAATTTTTCTGACATTCAGCTTAATTTATGTTGATGCTATTGAGCTGTAATCTATTGATATTATTGATTCGATGTTATTTAAACAACTTTAATGTTGTTCATAACACTAATTCATTCATTCATTCACTATAATGTGTATATAACTGTAGAGGCTGATGATGAAGTTATCGAAAAGAGTATTCTTTGTTCAGTGTCCATTCTTTTGAAAATTTTAATGGGCATTTTTAATCAGTTAAAATGATATTTCGTCTAGTGTTCATCTTCATTAGGGATAAGATTTTATTTTGATAAATCACACAGTGTTCGTTGTACAGTAATATTAACTGTTAATTACAGTTGTGTGAGTAGTGTCTTGATATAATATTATGAGCAGTAATAAACTGTGCTCGAAACACTGTGTGATTTATCAAAATAAAATCTTATCCAAAATGGAGTTGTTCTCTATTTAGTTCACTATCGACTTTTTTTCTCTATCCTCTTACTGTTATTCTCTATGCATTTCACCGTGCACTGTGATTCTGTAACAAACAAAGCTACTTACTACCTTGTTTTATTTTGCTTTTTTGATCATTTCCTCTCAATGATATTAAATATTTGTTATTATTGTAATAACATTCTTTCTCACATATAATTGACACTCCACTTTTCAGGAGATGATATATGTTAATAAAAATTTGATTTATTTGTAGTACTTATGCGTGATACGAATGCATAATGTGCATTCATAGTGCTTACACTGGAAGTGTGTTTGTGTGTGTGTATACACTGTAGACTGTGAATCATACATCTGTTGTGTGTAGGAGGCGTACACCTGGAATAAGTCAACTAAATTAATTGATCGGTGTGTTGTGCAATTTGAAGTTCGATCTAACTAACTGACTGACTGGTTTCAACATACGACTCTGCACAGAAGTGCAGCAGTTTGAGTTGCCATACTCTATGGATCACACAAAAGAAGATAAAAGAGGATAATCAAAACAAGTGGTGATTCAGCGAAGAGACTCTTTTCAACGAATTTATCATCAAGCTGTGAAGGAATTAGGTCAAAGGTATGAATGCTGCATCTCTGAGAATAGCCTTTACAAGTCGACCATTACTGTTCAATAACCTGAAGGACAAGATCCCGCTGTTGACCAACTCTATGTGTGTTTATCAATTCACCTGCTCGTGTGGAGCTAGGTATATCGGTCGTTCGACTCGAGTTTTGTCCAAGAGGGTGCAAGAACACTATCCTGCATGGTTACGAAAAGGTGGAAGTGGAGCAATAAGAAGCGCGATCATTGAACATCTGGTCGATAATGATCACCCTATCTCTATAGCCTCCGCCTTTAAAGTCATCTACAAGGCAAAGAGTAATTTACCCAAATCCCTACGTACCCGACTCATCTGTATTGCTGAAGCCATCTTTGGCTATCGAAACAGAAAAGCCAGATCTCTGTGTACAGAAAAAGTTCGTTCAACCCCTCCAACTTTCATGGTCTTAATCCGTCTATGCTAAAGTATGGTAATCCACAATCATATTTTAGCTCTACCAATTCTTCATTTTTTCATTTTTGTCTATTCAATTTGTATACTCTTCCTTATTACGTCAATTGTTACTATTACTACTCTCACTTTTAATTGTCCCCGGTATTATTTCACTTGTTCCACTTGTCATTCTAAATCAATTCCTTTATGCAACATTAAATTCTATGCCATTAAATTTCACACAATATTACGTAACGTTTTTAATTTATTCGATTTGTCTACTAATCTTATAATTGCACACCTTTTTCAAGTTCTATCCATCCTATGAATTATTCTATATATGACATTAATTTGCTTTGCCACTTGACATTTAACTATGATTATAATCATAAACATTTTAGTTTTAATTGCATTTCATACTATTATTATTATTATTTTATGCATTCACACCTATGATTCAATTCCCTCACCGGATATAACTTCTTAAAAACCATATATATACGATTGTACAGCTTGATGATAAATTCGTTGAAAAGAGTCTCTTCGCTGAATCACCACTTGTTTTGATTTTCTATATGTTACAATGGGAATTTTCCATGATTTAAAAAAAGAGGATAAGGCAGATTCTGAAGAATGATTTCAACTCATATCACTGAATGTCTCCAGCCTTCATTGCTTTTTACCATCCAGAGAACCCCAGTCAGACAGTAGTCTACACTTCTCTACATGGCTGGCCTAAACTAACTGTTGGGGATTACATGGACTGATGAAACCGTGTGTTTCCGTTTGACCGTCACTAGCTCATTTGCAACGTAATCCTATGTCAGCTATCATTTCCTGTGGATATAGGCGATGACAAGTCATACCTAACACGTGTCCTAGGCATATTGGCTGATTCACCTTTACAACGTCATTCATTTGGTTTTCTCTTCATATGTAACACTCAACGTCAATATTATTAACCCTATTATACCATCTAACATGGCAGATAGAATGGAAACACCTGTGATTAAAGACAGCCAGCCTTTACATTAATGTTTTCCACTTTCAATGACCATGTCTCACAGCCATAAAGGAGGATGGAGCGAACTGTTGCTAAGCAGTACACACATCTTTTGACCGACAACCAGTCGGATATCACACCTACCCCAAAGATGATGTAGGTTTGCAAATGCCACACGAGCATTGTGTATTCGTACTGCGATCTTAGTCCGGAATCATGTCTATTGGGGCCAAAGCAACTTCTCAAATTAGTGAAGTGGTCAACATGCTCTACCACTTCATTTCCTATCCTTAAGCTAGGCGTTGATTGATGATTTGGGAGGAGAGAATTGTATGCCAAGCATTCTAACATTTAGATATGATAGAGAAGATTTGTAGCTCAGATGGATGATTTTGATGTGGTTGTGTTCTCTGAGCTGGATAGTTAATTTGCGAAGCTTTCATTGCCCTACTTACTAGGCAACATATTCAGCGCATACTTCAATTTGAAGTGAGCTTTTAGATTTCTCCATGAGTGTATATTAATCATCTCTCACGGTGACCTTGGACGTGATTAGTTGTTTTTGTATGTTTTTACACCTTGTAGGCTACTTGTATTGGAACTGATTGTTTCTTTGACCCTTTATGTGTGAGGTTTCTTTCTTATCGGTTGATAAATTTTGTCAATCTCGATGTGTCTATTGACTGATGATTCACTGGAATACCAGGCAGGCTTCTAAAAATTCTCTAGCATTCTTGGTGTTTCCTCTGTCTAATATTTGGACGTTGTCTAACCTGGAAAGGACTCCAGGTGAACATAGAAAAGACGGAGGTTATGAAAATAACCAACCAACAACAACAACAGCAGCAACATCCAGCGCCATTCACCATCAACGGGAGGGATTTGAAAGAGGTTACTTCATTCACTTATCTAGGGACCATTGTCTCAACGACAGGATGAACAGACGGGGATTTCAAATCGAGAAGGCGAGAAACACATTCCTCAACCTGAAACCAATCTGGAAGTCTTAGTCACTCAGCATCAACAACAAAATTCGGATTGTCATTACAAAAATCAAGTCAGTCAGTTCTTCTATACGGATCAGAAACTTGGCGGGTCACAGAGAATATTTCCAACAGCCTGTTGCAGACTCTTATCAACAACTGTCTTCGCTCTATACTGAAGATCAGATGGCCGGAAAGAATCGCCAACAAGAAACTATGGGAACAAACAGAACAAGAATCAATCGCCCAACAAATATGCAGGAGATGGATTGGACACTCGCTGAGGAGGCCGCTGGGTGATATCGCGCGTCAGGCCATCACTCGAGTGGAACCCGAAAGGTAAGCGGCGAGTGGGACGTCCAAGGTTGGGTGACATGGAGGAGATCGTGTGCTTAGGAGTTGAAACAGTATGGACTAACATGGATGCAAGTGAAAAGTACAGCAGAAGACAGAAACAATTGGAGACGTGTAGTTGAAGCCCTATGTTCCACTAGGAACTCAAGGAAACAATAATAATAATAACGATAATAACATTGCTGCTCAAGGTGTTCAGAAGACTTTGCATTTTCATCAAGTTTGATCACGGATCGATAACATTTAGAGAGAATCATCGTAAACCATGAAGTACTGGACAGCTGGTTGTTTCATCCTGCTTTGGGATTCTTCAGGAATACACACCCATGGTCATCCCATCGGGAATCGAATCACTGATCATGCGGGTTACATGGCGAGCTCATTGACTACTATTCAGCTACTGAGACTGTAATCGCATAACTGTGAACGGCTCGTATGGAGGATGAAAAGTAGAGTAGTCAAATCTTGGTTGAATTATAAGCGTGTCTGTTTGTTTGTTTGGTGGTTTGTTTGTTTATCCACGTGTGGTTGTGCATAACTGTTTTCCCTTTCTCATTGCTGTTATTATAAGGTTTGAATCACGTGACACTTTTTAAGGAAATACAGCTTTATTTTATATCCTTTTCGTTTAGATAAACGTCGTACATATATGGTTGAAATTGACCAGTATCAAGCTGCTAAACGTTTGAACAATGCACGTCAACCACGTCCTCCGGAACCAGAACCTTCTGTAAGCATTTTCTTAAGCAGATATTTATTCTTTTGCAAAAATGTTGAGCGTTAAATTAACTTTTGGCTTGGTGTACATAACATTGTTTAACATTTGAACAGTTGTTGGTACTAATTTCTCTTGTAAGTAGAATTCAAATCTTGGTAGTATTAGGTGGTTTTCCTTCAACCGAATAAGTATTTTGAATGACTGTTCAATCACAGTCTGAGTATATTCAAAACGAAGTGTAGCTCCACGGAACAACGATCGCAAAAACTTGAAAAGATTCGTAGATATATTAAAATGAATGATTGAATGTTCCATTTCGCCTTGTACATAAAGAAAATCATCCAGGTAACTGGAAATTATTCTCCCTTGATAAGATGGCGTGTGGTTCTGTGTAGTGATCGATCCAGTTGGTTGTGTACTAAACCTATGTTGTGTATCCGGTCATAATGATAATAATAATAATATATTCTCAGCTTTTCTCAGGTGAACAGAGAGAAAACAGAGGTGATGAAGATTCCTGGGCAACACCACCAACAGCAACAACAACAACGACAGACAACAATCAGCACAAATGGAAGGAACCTGAAAGAAACAAACTCTTTCACCTACCTGGGAAACATCGTTTCAACTACAGGCCGGTGGAACTGACGAGGATATCATCAAAGCAAGGATCGGGAAAGCAAGACAAGCTTACATTTCTCTCAAGTCTGTGTGGAGGTCAACAGCACTCAGCATGAATATAATAAGATCCGAATTTTCAACTCCAATGTGAAGTCAGTGCTACTTAACATACGGATCAGAGACTTGGCCAGCGCGTCATAAAGAGCATCTCACACAAACTACAGACCTTCATTAACAGTTGTCTTCGCTCAATACTCAAGATCAAATGGCCGGCCAGAAAAGATCAGCAACAGGGATCTCTGGGAGCGAACCAACCCAGCAGGAACCGATTGTGAAACAAATAGGCAGGAAGAAATGGAGATGGATTGGATTGGTCATACTCTGAGGAAACAAACCATCAAGTGACATCACCAGACAAACCATCGCTCGAGTGGAACCTGAAAGGGAAGCGGCGAGTTGGTCGTCAGTGCAAGGGTGACTTGGAGGAGGTCATGTGAAGAAGAGATGAAAGCGTGTGGGCACACTTGGAGCCAAGTGAAGACTCTAGCAGAGAACCGAACGCAATGGAAACGCATGGCTGAAGCCCTATGTTCCTCTGGGAACTAAAGGAAACAATAATAATAATTCTCAGCTTTTGTACATGAGAGACGCCAGTTTACAGGCATCATCAGTATGATATGAATAACATATACACGGAGTAGGCATAATCACTGGAAAACGCGGGAATACTGGATAGCTGTTTCCTCCTAGTTAGGGGCTCTTCATCAGTACGCACCCAGCAGTCCCAATGGTTCGCCAACCGATGTCAGCTCATGATGAAATCCTGTAACCAATCAATCAAGTCCCTACAATCCAATACTTGGATATCAATGAGATGCTCAATGGCGACTCGCCCTATTCAGGTAGGGGTTCTAGTGGGAAGTCCTGACCAGCAGGGTGCAGCAGGTCGGGTGTGAAGACAAATACTCGCCGAAGACATTGGCTAGCGGTTGCGCCATGTCGCAAATTGGCAGAAGTTAGAATTCATGGGCTGGCCGTTGGATCGGTAGGGTCCCAGTGGCTTAATGGTCCATGATCTGGCTAACCTTGTAACTAAGAAGGTTGTGTGTTGGAACCCTTGACTTGGGTGCGTATTGCTGAAGAGTCAGTCCCAAACTAAGACAACGAAAACAACTGTCCACTGCCATTTGTAAAAAATTATATTTGTAAAATCTCAGCGATATTGAAATAAGTAATTCCAACGTTTCGTTCGGCAATCTGGTCCGAACTTCAGGGAAATCAATCAAAATTAACATAACAGAGGTTTTATATATAATTAATAATACTTAGTCAAATTCCTGACTGTCTATATCTTCCTATGGAGACGTTAAGAAATGTTTTACGACTGTTTACACACACACATGCACACTCTGATTAAAGTATTTAACAAAGGTAGACCAATATTTGTAAGTCCGAGGTCAAATTTTGATCACAGCTCATACAATTTTGTTTATTATACTTGTTAATACTTGTGTTTATGAATAATGATTGGACAAAGTTTTTAAAAAGATGTGCCTTTTATATATAAAACCTCTGTTATGTTAATTTTGATTAATTTCCCTGAAGAAGTTCGGACCAGATTGCCGAACGAAACGTTGGAATTACTTATTTCAATATCGCTGAGATTTTACAAATATAATTTTTTACAAATGTCTACTTATCACTCGGCGCCCAAATATTTTAGAACTATTCTGTCAAATCTTGACGACAGTTCATTTGAACTGTCCACTGCTCCCAGCTAGTTTTCCGATGCTCCTCTTACCGATCTATGTCAGCTCATGATGAAATCCTTTAACGTGTGATGTCACTTTACACATGCTGAAGCAATGTACACAGTATAATACAAAGCCTTGCTATTGAAAAAAAATAAATGAAATGCTGAGGAATCGTTACTGGCGTTAGGCTCGGTAGGTTATCCATAAAGTGATAAAATTGTCTTCTAAAATGTTATTTCACCGATAATAACGTTTTTAGCGATACCAAGTGTAAGTGACTCACCACAGCAGTAAGTGTTTAGTTACAGCTTACAATGAAGTATTGTTACAGCAACAGGCAATTTCGAGTCCAGACGCGTCTATGAACAAGAATAATGGCTAACTTATCCATATGGAACGACAACGGGAGCACGTATGAGCGAGTCAGTGAGATGATAATTGCAACCATCAGGATATTTTCATTATTTCCTAAATAACCAGAATTATTGGCTCTGTGCAAGTGGTTATTGGGAATTTTTTATTAGTATGAAGATTATATTCCACAACTGTCATCCAGGATGCATTGCACACGAAAGTAATGCGTAATTTGCGAGGCAGTTGTAGGATCCTTTTATGTGTGATCCTTTGATTTCAGCTTCTTTTTGGACGGACTATTACACATACACTTTCTAGTAATCCATTCATTTTCGAGAGGCTTCCATATACATGATAATCTGCTTAACCGATTTTAGCATAACTAAGTGAATAATATCTAAGCAATTCAACAACTTCTTGTTCTGTTCTTTACAATAGCATTCGGAATCATTTGAAAGCAGTTGCCAACGTGTCGTCCGAGGTTCGATCCCTGGCCGACACACTCCTAAAACACGCCAAGCTAGCAGTAAAGTCAGTGAAGGGGAGAGGCTTGGAGTGTGGCTAGCGAACCCACCCTATAAAAGAAAACACTATTTAGACTTGAAAGCTCTAGCCTGATACCCTATTTTCCACAATGGGAGTTGTAAAAGATTGAAACAAATGATAAGGGTTAGCGACCGAAATCCGCATTTTCAGGAGGACTGATCGTTTCTAAGTCATTGGTCCATACGTTTCCTTGGATCGGTTTCCTTTAGCTTTACCTGACACCCTTTTGTATTTCCACTGTACTTTTTACTGGAATTATAACCGTTTTTTTAAAAATGACACTAAAACGTAAGTCATAGAGTAGTTGGAAAGACTCATCTGCAAACGGTCATAAGTAGTGGTTAAATAAACTTCACCGCACTATATAGTCGCCTTGATTAGTTTGAGTCTCCTCTCTACCACCTCTGGAAGGCACCTCATTATACCGTCGAAGCTTTCAAGCGGAATTAAAAGCATCCATCGACTAATGCGTGTGTATTTCTAAATTACTTTTCAAATCCTGTGTAAAATATATGTATGTATATATACGTATGCATAATCGTAACTTATTCAACCCTTTTTTGCATTTCAGGGTCGTATGTTCAAATACTTCATAATCGGTCTTCATGCTACAGTCTGTGCAATTGTTGCTGTCATCTTGATCATAATCATAGCAGTTAACTAAAGGAAAGGAATTAATTTATGCTTCACGTTTTAGACTACTTAATTATTTTATCAGTAGCCTTTAAAAATCCTTCGAAAATATACACATATATATATTAATGCGTACATTATGTGTTCAAACAAACTAATGTAAATGTGCCTTAAACATCTGGTTTTGACTGAATACACACACAAGTACCTACCTACACATAATACAATACATGCAGTCAAAGATTCTACAAACATATTCGCTGTCTTTTCGTGTTTTTTTTTAACAAAAATCGCTTTTTATCTATTGCTGTCACACACACACACACACTATTTATGTTTGCATGCAATCGCCGATCTCTGTAGCCCTATTATATTTATACACATACATTTGCAGAATTTGTTCTCCTTGTCACTAGGTATATGAATTTCGTTGTTTACACTATATTTATGAATTATAACTGATACTTCAAATGATAAAAGAAGAGGCCATAGTTCATGAATGCATTACAAATGTTTTTTTTTAAATATAATTATCAATGGTTCAATAAAGTTTATGCAAACAATATACATACACATACATATACAAATATGAAATAATGCGTTTCTCTTCTTTAAAGGATAAAATGCTTCTCCTTTGAGCACCTTCTTTTTCACACACACACACAGACAAACACACTGCTTTTCTTAGTAGAGTGGTTTTTACGCGGCTATTTCAAAATTAGAGATTTCGTACACACCTACCGCCAACTATCGGTTCTCTTCCTACGTGCAACAACACACTGTGTGTGTGTAGGCATAAAACTATTGTATTCATCTCTTGACTGTTATTGTGTTGGCGTTACCACCGGAGATTCATTGTTCTTGTTTTAATCAACCGGGTTATTATGAAGGCAACCGCTTAAATCTGGAGCGGTTTCGTTCATTGAAAATCACTCCCTTTTATCAAAATTATGTCAGCCATTTATTATTTCCATTGCCAAACTATTGGTTCGATGTGTTTTATTGTAAGATGAAGTTGTTTTAATCGGCCATGATGTCTTCCATCAGCGAATTTTGTGATTTTCTTGTACGACGTCTTTTTATCATTGTTGTTTTAAAAAGTTTTACTTCTCTTGAATTTTTTTTTGGTCTTACCTATTTATCTGCTATTTACACACTAAGCGATGTTCATCTATTCAACATGGCGGGAAAGATTGTTTATCTCTACTTTCTCTGCTTATATAAGTCACTTGTCTTCTTTTATTCACTCACCTATACTCGTCATTGGTTTATTCATTTATAATATTGATTAGTCTTTATCAGCGCTAGACAAAATAATAAAAAAGCAACAAATATTTCAACTGCTTTGTTATTCGTTATTTGGGTATGGTTAGCGGTGAAGTGTGGGATTAGTATTTCGTCCTCCTGGTTTGAGACTCATCGGCAGTACTCACCCATCAAAGGAGTTTGAACCCAGGACGTTGTCCTGTGACAAGGCAAGGTCGTTGATGATAATTCATTCACCGGCACTCCCTAGTCGGTGACTGGATCATGAACTCTAAATTCTACTACTAGAAACAAAGACTCACAGATGACAGTGGCTGGTGGTCTCGCTAAAATCATAAGTTGGTAGAATTTAGAATTCATAGTCGGGGGTGTCAGTGGATGAATTGTCGTCAACGCGCTTGCCTTGTAAGAGGAAGATCCTGTGTTTGAACCCCTGTGGTGGTTGAATACTGATTATGAGTCCCAAACTAGAAGGAAGAAACAGCTGTGCAGGACTCCAGTGTTGGTTTTCAATAGTTCTCCAACTGATGCCAATCCGTGACGAAACCTGACATATATATATGTATCCTAATATGTCAGTCTCCCTAATACTATCTGAGCGCTGTTCGTATCACTTTATAGTGCAGGATGTTATCCACGTGTTTTTATTCCTTTAAGTTCCCTGTGGAACTTAGGGCTTCAAGCTGGAGCTTCGAAGTTTCATTAGGAGTGGTGTTCATTTTTACGGGATTGGATTGCTAGCCTTATGCCTAACCTTCCCTCTTTACCAGTCCTACTGCTGGCTTAGTGAGGTAAATGAGTGCGTCCTGAAGTCGAACTCCTAACCATCTGCTGTTGAATTGTATCCGTCAGTTGGTCGTGTGGACATTGGAAACGTGCACGAATAGTTTCATGTCACAGGGATTTTCGTTTTAATTCAATCTGTGTTTCATGGCTGAGGTGTTCGGTAAATTCGATTCAGTAATATTCGTCAATAAAAATGAAGGCCTGTTAGCAGATACAGGTTGTATTTAGGCTCACCAGTTTAGAAGATGAAGGATGGTAGCGCGCCTACACAAGATACGCTGTATATAAAGTCAAGTTTCTATGTAGTAAATCCCAAACAAAGACAAATCAAAACACCAAACTGACCGTCTAAAATACGAGATATATTTTGCCATCACAATTGTAGTACAATAATGCTTGCTTAGTTGGCCAAGCAGTTGTGTACAAACGACCGAATGTTACGCGTCGGTGTGCCGAATGACGTGGATACTCGACTGTGTAGTGTACCCTCAGCTTAACAGGTTGACTTAGACAGTGAAGGTCGGCAAACAGTAACGAGTGAATAATACTGTTATCTAAGAATTCCAGGAAATTATTTACCTCCTACAGCATGTTATTTCATTCTGTAAAAACTGTTCAAATGATTCATAACTAGGCAGTCTGTAAGACTGGAATATTTCATAGACCAGTATCATATGTGCTTTCTAATCTCCGGGAGGATTTCACTGTGATTCCTGTGTCCTTGTTCGGTGATGGTAGTGTTGGCTAAATATGCGTAATGTAAATTTGAACCGTGGGTTGATTCATCTTTCCTATTCTATAGCCTGAAACCGACACCTTTGCGTGAATTCATCTAGTTGTCCAAGCATAATCTAGTTGTGGTGAGAGCTATCTGCTAGCCAAAATTGGTAGACAGCTATTTACGTCAATGTTTACGTCCCAAATCTTGGTCATGAGAAAAGAACGAAGACTAACTTAACAGCCAATCACAGCGGACTTTGCGTGTATATAACAACGGACTATCTAAAAAACGCCAACAAAGAGATAACAGAATAACCTTCAACAAGATAACAACCAATCAGAAGAGGTTGCTTCTCCGAAGCCTAGGGAATAAAAGAGAGAAAATCACAAAAATCTACGAATCAGTATATGAAAAATCCACTTTTCAACTAACACAGGTTAGAGGGATCAATAAAAACCAGGCATCACTCGACAGTCGTTTCGTCCTGTTCTGAGACTTCTCAATACTACGCACTGCGGCCCCCAAGCTACGAGACAAAGCCTATTGCCCAATCAATCACTTGGGTTGGAATCGAATGACCTCTAAATTCTACCTTTGTCAATTCGACATATAGCGCTCTGCTCTAACCAATGCCGTTTATCAGTGTCCACTTTATCTTGACATGTTGAACCCCACTGCAGCTTCAAGAAAACCCGCCAGTAGCAATCAGTGAGCTGGTAATTTATATTCAGATCCTAAGATTTGTCTGAACTTGTCCTTTGGGGTTTCTTCTAAAAGCAGATAACTTCAATCAGAATAGTGTGCTGAGATTGGTTGGCATTCGATAGGAGTTCTCATCAGGTATTTCGCTAACTTGCATTTTACTCTCATCAGCAGGATTCACTCGACTGTATTCACAGGTCTTTTGTCTTTTCATATAAATTATATGATTCCAAGATAAGTGCTTGATATGATCAATTACATCTGAAATCTCTGTAAGGAAGAGGAGCTCACATACGGCTTTAATAAGAAGTTTTTGGAACCATTTGCCCTCCAAGTTTGAAAGTGTCCCACTACTTAGGAATCAATTAACTTCGTCGAAGCCTCCGCACTAGAAGCTGACATGCCAACAGTTACCAAGTCCAATATAATCAACCTGCGGGAGATATAAAATTAACTTGAATAATAATACATGCTGTCAGCAGCACAATATGTGGTCCTAATAACACAAAGGATGACGCTTCGCCATTTGAAAAGATTGGTTCCGGGTTCGACCGTCAGTGGGTGGCACTCACTTACATACAGATGATGATTCCTAAACAGGATGGAATGCATCTCCCGGATTCTACTTCTAGCCACCATCAACAAAACAAGGTAAATTTGAAGGAGATATTCAGATGTTAAAAGGGCTGACTGATAGCGATGAATGAGAATGACGATCAGGGGGCTTCGTGTGCTCTTGGAGGTGTGTGGGCGGTTTCTACTTCCTGCCTGCCCGCACTGTGCAAGTTGATTTTTTCTTGGGGCACCTGAAATAGAAAGAGAATCAGTGTTGCTGGACAACAGAGCGCAAGGGATAACTGCTTGAGGCCGATTACACCCGGCCTTTTTAAACTGGTTTTTTGTTTCGGTTCCGTATTAATAAACTTACCGCCGGTTACGGACCACTGTAGGGTAAGTAGGGATGTTTTTGATTGGAAACTAATCAGTAACTAGTGCAATGTGTGTGTGTGTCTAAGTAGGGATGTACAATTTTAGGAAATAAACCAAATGTTTAAGAATTCTCCTAATTGCTCTTAGACATTCAGTAAAGCTTCATGTATCATAGGCTAGTGACTTGCGTATTTTTGATAATGTAAGTGTAGTGGTATGATACAGACAATGTGTGCCAACGGAATGTTATTCTCACATGTTCCCACAGTTAAATTCGGCATTTGCAACAGTATACGATATATCTATTTGAACATTCTACTTGATATTAGAGTAAATATTTCTTCTCTCAGTCTTTCTGTTTTCTAAATATCTAAATGGGGATTTCTTCTATTTATAAAACTGCATTGGCAACAGAATGCTATATGTATATTTGAACATTCTCTTTCATGTCGTTTGATGTAAACCAAAATCACATGCTCAGTGATTGGTTAACGACTATAAACTGTAGATATATAAACAGCGGTCTGATTAATGAAAAATGTACTTTGGCTTCAGTGTCTTGCATTCTGTTGTAACACCTCGACTAGATTTCGCTTCAGTTTCTCGGGACAGTTAGGTGTCGGTTCCACATTAAGAAATCAGTCATCCCGAATTAAATCATTCGTACACCCTCAGTTTACTCCTTCTCTCACAGACAAACCACAAAAGTTAACGGCAAAAACTACAGAAAAAAAATTAAATTTCTCCTTCACTATAGAAAGTAATAACAATGACTGTGAAGTCTTATGTTTGGGTTGGTGTACTTTTCGGTGGCACAGTTAGGACTCTCGCCAACCATGCACATGGTCCGGGGTTCGACCCCCTGCTGACGCACACCCGATATCAATGGTCGACCTACTAAATTTGGGCTACCGATGTCACATGCTGAAAATTCCATACTTGTACCAAAAAGTACTATGTGTAATCAATCTGTAATCCAAAAAAACATTTTACTGTTAAATTTATTGTCTTTTGCAGAAATGTATGCTGTTTTTCTAGGGTTCTAATAACATACTGGTTGACAGCTATTTTGAAGTATTCTTGTTGCTTAAAACAGAGACTCAACAACTGCCATCCAGAAAGAAAATTTACCCTTGAAATAAACAATTCAACCTTTTAGAGGCTGACGGTATCGAAGTTTGCGGATTGTACGGAGTATACTAACGCAAGATCTAACATCAGCAACTTCTATAGTATTCGCTCCTCGTGGACCAAAGGCAAAGCAAAAGACACTATTTGATCGTCCAAACTACGAGATGTATTTCGGGACCAAATCGTGGACTGAGGTGAATGCTTAGCTGGCTAGTGATCGTGCACGAACGTGACACGACGGATTACCAAAATGGCGTGGATGCTTGACAGGAAGCCTTCAGCTAAACAAGTCGACTTAAACAGTGAGGGTCAGCATCCAGTGTTCAGTGATCATTGCTGTGGTGAATAATTTTGGGCAATTATTTACCGCTACAACCTAAAATTCCTTTTCTTGATGTTGAACTTACAAGAAGAGCCGACGGAACTGTAATGACGTCAATCCATTGGGAAACCTACATGGAATGGCCAGCTGACAAGTTTCTGCAGCTGGGTGTCAATTAGTCATACACGAAAAAAATTATATCTCTTGTTAATCGCATCTGCAGTCTTGATGCTCTGGGAGGAAATTCTCACTTTTTGAAATAAATCTTTTTCCACAATGAATATCCACCAATAATTACTGACAAGAAAATCAAGCCGAAAATTCAAGGACAAGAAACCTCATCCATTCTGAAAAAGAAACTTTACATGAACCTCAGCTTCAAAGATGACCTACTCAGCGATGTCCTTAATGGGTGGGGGGAATTTCGGGTTCTTTGAAAAGAACTTTCTTCTAGGTATCGCTGAGAGTCGTGTTCTCCAATCACACA